TGTTTTATATCACATTTAGACATACATCCTCATGTATTTTTGATTTTTCTTCTCTAGCAAGTGCTCTTTGTAAGCAGTGATGAAGGGGTCGTCCAGCTTCCTGTGCAGAGGTGTGAGCTGTACGGTAAAGCGTGTGTAGACTGCTGTCTAGCTCGTGACCCATACTGCGCTTGGGACGGGTCCTCCTGTACTAACTACATCCCTAGCAACAAAAGGTACTTCCCTTTGTATTACATTTAATACATTCTCATTGGTCATTGGAGCTTAGAATTTTAGTGATTATTCAAATGTTTCTGAATTATTATTTTTTTAAATCAACGATAAGAAATGGCAACACTTTATTTTAAGGTGTCCTTGTTACACGTTACATGTACTTACGATAGTAATAACAATATATTATGCATAATTACATGCAACTAACTCTAAACCAAATACTAATCCTAAACATATAGTAAATACATGTATTTAATTAATATTACTCGGTATTATGTATAATTATACTGTAACAAGGACACCATAAATAACAACAATGGTGCAGTTTATTACACTAAGAAAATTTTGCGAATTAGTAAATAAAGATTTTTGGAGCATGCTTTACAAGAAAATACTATTTCACCCTTTGTATTTCAGAATTTCATGTTTAATTTCAATGTTACTTGTTGTTTCTTTGTAATTATTTGTGAAATGTACTAGCAATTTCTGAGTGAAAATTGTTTCTACACCAATATTGTTTTTTTTTTTTTTTTTGTAGAAGTGTAGAAGTGATTTCAGTCTTAAATATATATACATTTTATTGAGTTTTATTAACAAACAGTGGAGAAATTGTAGGCTTGGTTAGAGTGAATTTGTATTAATTTTATTTGGAGTATTTATTAGTGGAAATGGCTTGAATTACTAATACCGAAAACCACCAGGAAACCTGTCAAACAATGGATCTGAGGGTCAGTAACATCCTCTTGTGGTCCGCAGGCATGCCCGGAGACAGGATGTGAGGTATGGAGACCCCTGGAGCCAGTGTCAGGACATGAGAGATGGTAATAAATCACTTTCTGTTCACCTCACCACTTTCCACCTTCAGGTTGTAGATGATATTGGCCAGTCCTGAAAAAAATGCACACTACTCCCTCTAGTGTACAAAATGGACACTAACACATGCTAAGATGTGTGCACCAGTTCAATATGAAATCAAAACTGATCTTGTTTACATTCTTAATACAAGTGTTTGGTCTTGCTGTTAAAGAAGTAATAGAACACGTTCCAAATAAATAAAAAAATAAACTTTTCGGGAGCTAAAAGTGTCCATTCGTCTCTACATGTTCAGAGAATGCTGAACTGAAGACAGTTTACGCTGTGGAGACAAACTCAACCTTCCTGGAATGTGTCCCACGTTCACCACAAGCCACGATCAAGTGGATAATTCAGCCAAACCACAGCCAAAGCAGCAAAGAGGTCCGTCCACATCCTGTTTAGATTTAATCATGAAAAACCATGTGGATATACACTTAATTCATCCTCTTCTATTCTAACGCAAACCCCTTTCTATCTCTCAGTTGGTTCCAGGTGAAGAAAACCTCATCCACATGCAACGCGGGCTCCTCCTCCAGCACTTAGCATTCGCTAATGCTGGCCTGTACCTCTGCGTAGCCTACGAACACTCGTTCTCCCGCACGCTAGCCCGCTACGAGGTCCACGTTATCCCCCAGAACCACATGTCGAGAGCGCAGAACACCCATCCCGGAAATCACGCAGCCTCGCCACGGACCTACAAGGAACTCCATCTAATGGGAGTTAGCGAGCTAACGTCTGATGAGTACTGTGAACATCTTTGGTACCGCGAAAAACGACGACAGCAAAAACTACGCTTGCTAAAGTTGAAGCAGGTGGCTGAAAATCGTAAAGCGAGAGTTAGGCGACAAAATCCACCCAACAAGCCTCTAGACGGAGGTGAAACTGCAGACTTGTGATGAAGAGAAGGACTGTGTGACTTCATCTGGACAATTAGCATCTTGTTTGTAGCTTAATGGCTAAAGCTACATCCCGACTAGCTGCAACCAGCAAATGCTACTGTTAACACAACAACAAAGGGCTACAGCTAAGAACTGTATTATTCTTCTATTAAGTCCTCTCTTAAGTTTTATTTTGTAGCCTGTGCTATTGTTAGCATGTAGCTTTAACACAGTATAATCAAACAAAATCTGTAGCTGTGCAACTGAGATGAATTTGTGTAGTCTGGCATCCACATTTCGCATACATTTAATGTAATATTTTCAAACCGTTTCTATTATTTGTGAACCTTCTTGAAAGACAAGCACCTATGCTAAATGCTAGGTATGCTTGGTAAGCTAATATTGAAAATGGACAAGCTAATGCACTGTTTTGAGCGAAATGCAGTGCAACGATGAACTGACTTCTCTTGCTTTCACTAGGCATGTAGATTAAATAGTCCCTAGAGCTGTATATCATTGTGTTGCTATTATATTTGGACTCTTGACACAGTCATATTTACAAATTTGTTCTGACAACAGCAGGTGCCTCATGTTCAGAGGAAGTTTGCCCAGGATGTGCCCTTCATATGTTTCCTTCCCCTTCAAGTACAATCTCTTCTGCTCTTTCCTGAGAACATCCTTGAGTAAATATTGTGTTTGTTTTATGACTCCTTTGCAAATCTCTCCACTCTGGTCCCAATTATGTGTACAGTATGTGTAAGATGTGTTCGTGTGTGAAAGCATCTGGGGATGATGGTAAGTAGAAAATGGCATCCAAAGATCAAAGAGCTTTTTAAAGTTCTCTTCACTGCCCATGAAAATGACTTCCAGAATCCTCGTGCTTTTGTTCTTCACCGTAACTAAATGAAAAGTTGTCTTTGGCTCACTGTGAAAACTGAAATAGGTTCATGGTTGGTTGATGGTTAGATTAAAAAACACTAAATGTACATTGTTTTAAAGTATGTTGATTATATAATGGAGTTCACATGTTGGGTTACTCCTTTATGTCTCTATCTCTCTCTAGCATAATATACTTTTAATGTTGTAGTGGTTGTCATATATTTAAATACCTAATACCTGATTTTAGACTTGTATATAATACTGTTCAAAACATAGTAAGATTTTTTTATTATTATTATTTTATTCAGCAAGATTTCAAGTTGACCAAAAGTGTCAGTAAAGAAGTTATAATGTTACAAAAGATTTCTATTTCAAATAAATGCTGTCCTTTTGAATTTTCTATTCATAAAAGAATCCTGGGGGAAAAAATCAGAAATATATTAAGCAGCACAACCATTTTCAACATTGAGAATCAGAAACGTTCCTTGAGCAGCAAATCAGCATATTAGAATGATTTCTGAAGGATCATGTGACACTGCTGGAGTAATGATGCTGAAAATTCTCTTTTGCATCACAATAATAAATTACACTTTCAAATATATTTACATAGAAAATAGTTATATTAAATTGGAATAATATTTCACAATATTAGTGTTTTTACTGTATTTTTGAGAAGACAAATGCAGCCTTGGTGAGCAGAAGAGACTTCTTTCAAACATTAAAAATCTTACTGACCCCTAATGTTTGAATGGCAGTTCACATTTTGTACAGTGTCAGTGAACAACTTTTTTAAGCTTAGTAAAGCACACCTGTCATTTTCATTTGTGAACAAAATACACATCATTTTTTAATTATTGTTATTTATTAATACATTTCAACCAACCAAAGCTATATATAACAACCAATGATATATGTATGACCAAAGGTCAAAATAAAAAACATTTGGTCAGTTTACACATCCTGCCTAGATGTAGGTGAGAGTTTGTGGTTTATTGTTTTCTATGGTCATTTTCCATTTCCATTTACAAGCTTGAATGACAATACCAAAAACATCCATACCCAAAATGAACTTTCTTCTGGTATTATAGCCCTACTTTGGATTGATCATGCTGACGGTCAACACAAAAAGCCGTCAAAATGCCAAGAACATTCTCTGAGAAGCTGTGTGTTTTAACTGATAAATAAAAAATTATGAGCCTTATTTGCTGGTTGCTTATAACATGCCAGGTGAATGGAACATTAACACTTTGTATGAGGTAACATTCTTAAAATAGGTGTAAACCTCAGATAAGCAAAGCTGTGCATGTGCGACTAGATTAGATGTTGAATTATGAAAACATTATTGGTCACACTTTATTTTAAGGTCCAATTCTCACCTTTAACAAACCATTAACTATATACAACTTTTGCCTCAATAGAGGTAACATTCTTAAAATAGGTGTAAACCTCAGATAAGCAAAGCTGTGCGACTAGATTAGATGTTGAATTATGAAAACATTATTGGTCACACTTTATTTTAAGGTCCAATTCTCACCTTTAACAAACCATTAACTATATACAACTTTTGCCTCAATAAACTCCTAATTTGCTGCTTATTAATAGTTAGTAAGGTAGCTGTTAAGTTTAGGGTATTGTAGGATTAGGGATGTAGAATATGGTCATGCAGAATATGTGCTTTATAAGCACTAATAAACAGCCAATAGGTTAATAATAGGCATGCTAATAAGCAACTAGTTAATAGTGAGAATTGGACCCTATGTGTTACCACATTATTTATAAAGGTTATATATGTAATTATAAAAGGTTAATTTAGCTGCAGTACATCCATCTACAAATCATGTTATACACTGATTAAAAAAATTGATGTAGAAACACTTTTCACTCAGAATTTAGAAAATTTCGCAAAGAAACTGTAACACATGAATTAAACTTTTTTAATGTATGACATGTAAAAAAAAAAAAAATGAAGCAAACAGTGGTCTAACTTCAGTAGATTTACTCTAAGGCTGATGATACACGGGGCAACTTTTTGAGCAATTTTGCCAGGCAACTTTTTTTGAGCAATGTTGCTTGGGCACTTTCACATTGAGAATGGATAACAAATTTCTATCCGGATACTTTAGATTGGTCGTGGGCCCTGTGTCTCATCTGGTTGCTCATTGACGGCAACATAGGTCAAAGTTGCCCGGCATCATTGCTCAAAAAGTTGCCCCGTGCATCATCAGCCTTAGAGTGGCTTTTTCCATGGGTAGATCTTTCCTTTGGGTAGACTAGCCCCAGGCAGCAGGTCAATGGCACAGTCCCATGACCGGTGTGGTGGTAGTTGGGTGGCTGCCTGCTTGCTGAATACATCCTGGAACGCCTGGTATTCTCAACCGTGGTGGATGCAAGGTCTACAGGCTTGCAGGAAGGGGGTAGTTGAGGTCTTGATGGAGATCCAGAAGATTTCATAATAGGTGAAAGACTGTTCTGATGGCAGCGCTCGCCCCACTGAAGAATCACTCCAGTATTCCAATTCACGATGGGTGTGTGCTGAGTCATCCACGGGCATCCCAGGATGATGTCAGCCATAGAGGCCTCCAGCACCAGAAAGGAGATTTGCTCCTGATGTAGATTCCGGATGCGGAGCGTGACGGTGGGTGAGCAGATGCGTCCGCGGCCCATCGGCTTTCCTAGGATGGTCTAAATGTGAAGTGGTTGAGCACAGGATTTCCGTTTGAGTTGAAGTTTTCGCAGTAGATCTAGGGAGATGAAGTTCCCCAAGGAACCAGAGTCAACATGGGCGTTGAAACAGAGTGTTGGGCAGTAGTTACCATAACGGTAGTACGAGTCAGAGATGCGATCATGGGTTGAATTTGAACTGTACTCACCACTGGGCGAGGTGGATGGACAGGAAAGGTGGATAACAGGTGACCACTGGCTCCACAGTTCAGACATAATTGATTAGAGATTCTCCTCTGATGCTCCACATGGGACAGGCGATAGGTATCCATTTGCATCGGCTCTGGTGCTGGAGGGGCGACTGATGGAGCGGTGGATGGAGGAACTGCAGTGGACTGATCCATTTCATACGCTGACATGCACTGTGAGATGCGGTTGGCCCGCTGAATAAAGTTCTCTAGCCCCACAACATCATCATAAATCTTTAATATTAAAATCAGCAATCAATCTATATACATCTATATATATTACATTATATTTAATTTGCAATATTAGTGATATTGTACATAAGATTCATAGATTGAATAGTTCCTTTTAAAACATTCGTAATTACTTATTACTTGTCAATTACATAATATTTAGCCTACATCTCTCCAACTCGCCAAGACACTTCAAAAAAGTAAAATATATACATAAAAAAATCAAATAAACCCTAAATGCATTTGTTGATTATCGCAGACAGAAACAGGATGACTGCTGAGATGACAGCAACATGTCTCTAATAGTGACTGAATTTTATTTACAAACTAACTGACACTTGAATTTCCTTCAGGAAATGCAAATATAAATTTACTGTGTTAAAGCAATCTGTAATAATCATACACTCTAAAAAAAAATGCTGGGTTAAAAACAACCATTTCTGGGTTATTTGGCAACCCAGTGCTGGCCCAGCGCCACTGGGTAAATATATCGGACAGAACACATGCTGGGTGTCACAGACCCTGCGTTCCATTCGAAAGGGCTCATCCCTATGCCCTAATCCCTTCAAAGGGTTTACCCTCCAGAGTGAGAGCTTCGAAGGGTGTATAGGGGACCAAACAACTGTTCCTTGAAGTGCCCTTCTACGTCATCATCACGTGTCCACACGGAGGCGCCGTCATCATGCAAAGAATCTGCGCAAAGGATCATGGGAGCCCAAAGTGTCCATCAGTTGTACCCTTCGAAATCCTTCATTCCGAAGGGCCCTTTGCAGTGGCCAGTTTTGAGCACTTCGGTTTGGAACGACCTTTCAATATGGCGGCCATGATTGTTTTCACTCCGAAGTGCCCTTCAGAGGGCGATATATCCCGTTTGGAACGCACCGGGGGTTGGTCGGCAGTTTGAGATTTTGTGCATCAAGGAGCGATCGTAGCAGAGTGGAAACTAAATGTTGCTGTTGTGCAGTAATGGATGAAGACTCAGAGGAATCGTTAATGGAGGAAAGCATAGTATTTACGGAGGTATTACCAAGAAATAAAAATAAAAAACGCAAGAAAATTAATAAGAAACAGGAAGATGGCAACGTAAGGATTTTAGGTATTCAAGATACATTTAAAGAAAAGCCCAAAACACATCAGCAAATTTCTAGAGAAGATCAAGGTCAGAATCATGAAGATGATGGATTTAAAGTTATGATGACATTTGAAAATGTGTGTATGTAATGTGAATATATCAATGTACTGTACTGATAACCACCATAATAATACAGATAGAGACAGATAGAAGACCACATGATGAATCAGACTTCCACCAGCAAGGAACAGTGAATGTAAATGTTCTGGAAAGTGGTTTTGTGCCTCTCTGTGATGGTACCATGAGGCATGAGGCAATATCTCCATTTGTCACATGATGATGTTGCGATTCTCCATGTATTTTTCTGCTGGCAGAAGAATGAGTATTTTGGATATATATTACAATTATGTTGCAAAGACTTAGGTCTGGTAAGACTTTATCTAGGAGTATTAAACTGTACATTTTATGGTAATGTGCACGTTTTACAGTAAAATTATATACAATTTGATATTAACCCATTTATATTTAGCTTACAGTTAACCAGTTTTTACAGTAGAAATTTTCCATACAAAGTAATGCAATTTTATATTTCGTGTTTTTAGCTGAGTGGGTGTGAACTTTTCAGGCACACCTGTAGAGGGAGCTCTCATGTTAGCTATATGGAAATGTTTACGCACTACTCACAGAACAAATGTTTAAACATACTTTAGGAAGACAATCTCTTTACTTGGGTCACAATCACTGTGGAGTGTTAACATTTCTGTTCTGTGTACCTCTTTGATAAAGAGTGACTAAGCTGTGGGCCTTATTAACCATTATATGTTACTTGAAACCGAAGGACTGTTGTTCAATTACAACTATAAGAAACTTGAAATAAAAAATGAAAATGACATCTGTGTATATGTGGATTGTATTGTGATTTTTAAGCTCTGTATAAACATGCGTGAATAATATGGTGCATTTGGGGGATGTCATGATATTACCTTAATAGAACAATATTCATATCTAAACCAAGCTATAACACATTAATTTAGTTTCTTAGCTAATTCACTACTCTGCTCTGGACTAGAAAAGGCAGATGTTTAAAAGTTGTATAATAATCTTATAATATACAGGCACAATAGTATTAGCTTTTTCTCCAGAAACAAATATTTATGGCTTTATGGATTTGATTTTTTTCAAAACGCATTACTATGTGTATGTGGGATAAACTGTGGATCATTTATCATTGCTTTGGCAGAACATGCATTCAGTACATCTTTCCAGCTTTGGTTATGGGAAAGTGAGGATGGTTGCAACACTTTTTGCACTTCCTTCAGTTGCTCTAAGACTGAGAGTGTTTGTATTGGGAAGCCAAAATTTTGATAATATTAAACCCACTTCTGTCAGGCAGCTACTCACCCACACTGCTGAAACATGTGATGATATATGTACAATTTATACTTCAATAGTCAAAGTCAAATGTTGCCGCTGACCCCATATCAAGGAACTGTTGCAACAGTTCACAGTTTGGGCAGTTGCAACATTCATTAAAATATAATACAATCACTCTTTAACACCATTTTGCAATTTCTGTGTTTTATTTGTGCACAGACATTGTCTTCACTAAGTTAAATTGGCTGTATAAAGACAAAGACTAGTAAATGAAAAAAAAATAAAATAAATTTTCAAGTAACAACCATTCTTACTTTAGCTTCTGCCACGCCTACGTCATTCGTCATAACTCGACTCTTTTGTGAATGTGCGCATGGCAGTTGCCAGAAAAAGTGACAGTAATACCAGTAAATTTTGACCTTGTGGGGACATTTTTTGGTCCCCGTGAGGAAAAGCTTATAAATCAAACAGAATGGTGTGTGTGTGTGTGTGTGTGTGATGTAGCTTATGTGTGTGTGACAGGGAGAGGGTTAGACAAAAGGAAAGTAGTCCACATCAGATCAGCTATTTTCTTAAATTAAAAAGGGGAAGATACTTGACTATTGAAAGGGTTTCTTTATTAATCCATAAAATTACAATGTAGTTCTGACAAGTTTTACATCAATGTTGTGATGAGAGACAGCATGTTGGGACATGCTTATTCTTAAAATAAGAATTATATTGTTCAGCAGTTAGACGTGTCAGAAACTTCTGATACAATCTTATTCTTAAGTGTAAATCACTACATCTTTACATTTTCTGTACATGAATAGTTATTAAGCATGCACTGATTCTATCAATCTCAGGTAGTGTCTCAGTTAACAGCACAATAATAATGGCCTTTGACTTTCTCCTCGCAGGACTCAAACCAACAACCTTCCAGTTACCAGCCCTGAGCTTTAGCCAAAGGACTATATAATCATTGATAATTTGACTCGAAATACAGTTTATGATGAAAAGGTCATCACATAGTCTTGCACAAGTTTTGAGCAGAATGGACGTCAGACTGTGAGGTTCATACGGTTGGACAAGATATCCTTTACTCACAAACGAACCAACCACACACATCTATTAATAGACTCACTATCAGGAACAAGTACCATTTGTTCATCCACCAGAATAAACCACATTCATCTAGTTGACTTCTGTGCTACACTGACCCAAATATAGCTCAGACCACAACAGGTTTCTGTTTGACTCACGAAATAAGCTGGTGAGAGAGCCTTTATATTTCTGACAAGAAACAGTGCACATGCGGTTTACATATGTGAAGGTTCATTATTAAGTCTGATTCTGAGTTCTGTCTTAGTTGTTTTTGTTGTTTATTGTGTGTGTGTGTGTCTGTGTCTGTGTCTGTGTGTGTGTGTGTGGTGTGTGTGTATGTGTGTGTTGTATTTTAAGGTGGTTACACTGGAAATGTGACATACCAGGAAGTGGTTTCATCATCTTTTTGCTTCCACTTGTGGCTCATTTATAAACCACTTTAATAATCAAAATGTTATTAACTAAATTGGACTGGTGGAGCTATCAATGATGTACTCATGATATTG